CGCCTGTTATAGCCCCATACGAGGAGCCCCGTTCAGCCGCTGACAGACACGTACGGCCCTCCGTGCTCACGTGCAGCATCCTCGGGGCCCGCCGGGCCTCGCTCCCGTGCCCTCCCACTGCCCCGTGGTGAGGTACGAGTCTCGTCAGTCACACCCCGAACACCCTTTGGGACACACCTTTCACCTTTCGGGGTGCCCCCGGCATGCACTGCTGCTGTAAGGGCACCGCTGCTCCGTGCTGCTCGCCCCAGCCTCGCTGTTCAGCCCAGGCTGCCCTTGGTCGTGACCCCAGGCAGGGAAAGGAGCGGGTTAGTCAGTTAGTGACACATGCTGCAGACGTTTATTGAGCTACACACTACACACAGCACAAAGACAATGCCACATGCACCTACTACAGGTGTTTGATTAGAGCAGCCACGTTAACAGATTGTCCAAGCCACTGAGTTGAGCACAAGGCATCTTGAAAGTGTGCGACAGGCTGGCACATGGCACAAAGACAAGGCAGTGACACACAAGTGACAGACTGACAGGCCAGCCTGGCACAGCACTGGGGAGGAACAGATAGGGGAAGAGAGAGAGTGTGTGTGTGTGTGTGTGTGTGTGTGTGTGAGACTCACTGAGGGTTGCTGACACACACAGCACCTTTCTGAGTCACAGGTCCTGGCACAGGGTCCTCCACACTGCCCTGGTTCCCTCAGCTGCCACCACACTGACACACCCAGCCCCTACAGCTCACAAGCGCCTGGTGCCCAGCTCCCTCCAAACCCACAGCCCTTACCCACTCTGCAGTCACTCACTCACCTCCTCTGTGCCTGCTCGCTGCCAGGCCCTTTCCTCTGTCCCCTCTCTCCTCCCTGTCACCTCAACACTGACTGCCCCTGAGCAAGCTGGCACTGTCAGCCTTGTTGCCATCTGCAAGTGGTGCAGCAGTGAGGGGAGGAGAAGGAGGATGAAGGCACTCAGTATTGCCATCCCTTCATCCTGTGGCCGTCACTTCCCACACCAACCAGCTTTCTGAGGGCATGAGCTCCTGGCTCTTAGGGCCAACCAGTATCACAGTGGCACAAACTCCCAACACCTCCTTTGCACCCCACCTGCCCTCTGCCCCTCCCCAACACCCTGCATGGCCCTGGGAAATCTGAAGCCTGGACAGGACCAGCAAGGCCCTGAGCCAGTGCAGAGCCCACTTTCTGCACCTCCCATCCTAAACCAGCTCTCACCTTCCTGGGCCTCCTGCCTGTCACCTTTGTCCACTTCTATAGACTCTGGCATCACTATGAGCATCTCTTTGCTCTTCCTCCTGCTGAGGAGGCACCACAGGGCTTTGTCTGGCCACGCTCCCCACAGCACTTCACACCTGCCCCTCCTTAGGCCACATCTCAGTGAACACAGATGGAATGTCACCACCTCTGCTGCCAGCCCTACACCTTCCCTGCAGGGCTGAACACATCCCTCTGCAGCTCACAGCAGACCACACCACATCAACTGCCACAGTATTGATGTCACATGGCACCAAACCCCAAAATACCAACAGTGCACAGCCTTAAGCTTTCTCAAAAAGCAGCCATGTCCCCAGACAGTAACTCTGAGACCCTGTGACCTACTCCCACACCCGAGGCTTGCACATCCTGCCCAGTGACCCAGCAGAGTCCCCAGCAGCACAGACCAGTCTGGTGGGGAGCTGGACAGGTAATGTTGCTGCTGCTTTGCCATGTGATGCTCTCACTGATGGGCTTGAGTGCTTGCCCAGCTGGCAGCCCTGACCCTCCGTGTCCATCTGCAGAGTCACTCATGCTGCAGTCCCAGGCTATGGGGGCAGCTGTAGACCTGACACACCTTGTCACACCTCCCATGGGTTGTTGTCACCAAGCACTGGAGATGTGGAGCTCCGTGCCTGAGCCACGTGTCTGGGCACAGAGCAGGGAGGGGCAGTGTCCCACCACCAGCACTGGTCCCTCCATCTCACCTACTCCTAGAGAGGACTCCCTGCACAAGCACCCATCCTCTGTGCAGCCTGCAGTGCACTTCAGGGAAAGGGATGGAGCCAGTGAAGGGAGGAATAAACACACCATCTACACACACACGCAAGTGTCAAACGCCCTTTAGTGGTAGACAGAGGTGCTGCCGGCCCTGGCCGCGCTGCTGCTGCTGCCTGCAGTACCTGCCCTTCACCGGATGTGCACCATCTCCTCCAGGAAGGGCGTTTTCATGCAGCCCGTGCACAGCTGATCCATCCAGAGCGGCGCCTCGTGCTGCAGAGGGGTGCGCCGGGGGTAGAAGGTGAAATTCACGTCGTAGTTGAGCAGGCAGCTGATGGAAGCCATGTAGATATCAGAGAAGCGCACCAGCCGGCGGGAGAAGTACGTGGGGTTGTGGAAGGTGCGGAAGATGCTTCCAAACTGGGGGTTGAACAGGTTCTTCGTCAGAGACCTGAGAACAAAGAGATGGTGCTCTGTAGCTAAAACTGTGGTCACAGATTCTTCCCACTCCCTTAGCCCGGGCCCACTCCATTCCCTGGGCATCAGGTGATCACCCCAAGAACGGCCCTCCCGAGGCTGTGGTGCAGGCCAGTCCCTGTGCAGTGAGGACTGATGAATATTCAGTGCACTCGTACTCCACTGTTATGGGCAGTGTCAGAAGCTGTGGGAGCTGCAGTAGCAGACAGCCCACCAGCCTCTCCCAGCACTCCCCTTTCCCACCCTGCCTTCAAACCAGTCCAGCCTCCCAGCCTGCAGCACTGCGCTGCTGCATGGCCCCCACCCAGAGGCAAGTGACACCAGGTAGGACCAGAGTCCAGCAGCTGCAGCAGCATTGTCCCCAAAGCAGGTTACAAAACAGGGCCTGGGAGCCCCCAAGAGACCTCACAAGTGAGGGGGGGAAATGCTCACCTGATCTCCTGCCGTTCCTTCATCCACTCCAGCAATACTTGCTTAGACTCTGCATCCTGATACATCTGCAAAGACAGCAGTAGAAAGCATCACATCCATCAGTCCTGCAGGCTACCCCTCAGCTCCCTGAAATTTCCACTGTAACTCACAAACCCAGAGCCCACTGCACCAGGAGGAGGATGAGATGTTTTTCAGAACCAGGCAAGATGGTACATCCCCTCATCCCCATGCTAAACCCAAAATTCAGGCTCAGAAGGCAGCACATAACCTGTCCTGCTCAGGCAGGAGCTGTCTACCTGCATTCTCTCCAGCAGCCCTGTGAGAGCCTGCTGCCAGGTCAGGGAGTGCATGTACTGCTCCGTGTTTATGATCCGGATCTCCGTCTCCAGCTCAGGAACGATGGCTCCCGTCCTCCAGCCATGACGCAGCATGAGGTCCTGGAGGTCAGGGTGAAAAAACAACCAAGAATTCAACATAAAGACTGAAAGCCAAACACAACCCTGGTTCCTAGAAAAGTGGGTTTGTTCCAATTTCTCATTCTCAGGGGACAGCCATCCATGCCCTGTGCCAATAACAACCATCTCCTGGTCACGAGGATCAGAAGAACCTACAGAGGTGGGATCAATACAAACTGCTCTCAAATTCACACTTTACCCACACAAAGTACTTCAGGAGCCTTTTCTCCAGTGCTTGCCTCTGTCTGACAGCAGTGGGGAAGCCTGTGTGTCCTGTTGTGGGGGGACACCCAACAGAGCCCTGAGCACTCAGAGCAGGCCCTGCCTTATCTCCAGCCCCAGCAGCCATGTGGGGTTGCTCCCAGCCCACTGGAGGGCAGAGACATTGCACTCACCGCAAGGTCACTGTACAGATGGTCCCCAAAGTAGAGCACTTTGGATCCACGCCAGCCTGTCAGCCTCAGGAAATCAAAGAGGTTGCCCTGCAAGTGACAGGAGCACAGAGTGAAGAGTGGGTACAGGCCCCTTACCCCAGGCAGGTGTGAGCACTCTCATGGGATGTCAACCCCATGTGCTGCCCCACCACCTACACCCAGAGCTTTCTGTCCTTTCCCACCTCCCTTCACTTTCTTCCTATGTGAAAATTCCCCGTACATCCCTCAGATTTTTCTCTGGCCTTAAAACAAAGCAAAAA